AGTGTTTCGTACTTTTGTACATAGGGTCGCTATGAGTCAGTACTGACTCGATGGCAGCTATCAACAACAACAACAAGCTCTGGTAGCATAGTGGTTACAAGTAGGGCTGCTAACCTCAGGATCAGCAGTTTCTGTGAGAAATATGAGGCTTTCTGCTCCTGTAAAGATTTACAGCCTTGGAAAAACGATGCAGGATTGCTATGAGTCGAAATCGACTCCAAGGCACACCACCACCACCAATGATACTAAGACAAGAGTATTACTGAGGGAACTTGTCTGAAGCCATTCACTCATTCCAGAGAACTGTTTCAATGTAGTTTATTTGGAATGAACCCATGCATGCATGAATTGGAACACTAGTGACAACACTTCTGGATTTACCCTAATACATCTAATCCTTTAAAATAAGTTGTAACAGTCAAATGACATGATATATATAGTTGTTAGGTGCCCTCGAGTCAGTTTCAACTCACAGCAGTCTTGTACAGGGTTTCCAAGGAGCGACTGGTGAGTTTGAACCACCGACCTTGTGGCCCAGTGCTTATCTTAGCAGCAGAGCAGGGCTGATGATATTAGTTAATATTATACATAAGTTATAATAACATAGATAAGAGAGGGAGAAAGGTAGTTTATATCATCACATGCATATGCCAGTCGGGACTGTATTTCTATCTGACTTCACACCAAATAATAGAAGGGTTAAGGTTTTGACTACGTGGAGTATGATGGTATAGCTTTTAAAAAATTTGTATCTAGAGAAATGTAAGGCACCTAGTGGCTCCAATGGTTAAAAGCACTCTGCTGATAACAAAAACGGTGGCTGTTAGAACCCAACCAGGATCTTCATTCATAAAGATGATAGCCTCCCAAACCCTATTTGGCACTTCTACCCTATCACATGGGGTTACTAGGAGTCAAAAATTGACTTGAGGGCACCTAAACAACAGAAAAACATGAAACAGGTTTTGCATATATGATGGATAAAAAAAGAGAGCTTTGGTTCTGAATTACACCCTGAGTGATTTCTAGTTACATAACAATTGAGTAAAAAAATGTCATTTTGGAAAGGTCCATTTTATATCATAATGCAAAGAAGGGTAAGCATAGCAAGTTAATGGAGAAAAATCAGTTTGTTAAATGATTAGGAAAATGTGTATCAGCTAACAAACTACCTAATGAAATATTTCAAAACCTGACATTAAAATTTGAGAGAGTAAGAATGCCTTTATGATAGTTATAAAGGAAACTATCTTCTAATAATCAAGGTTAGCTTTTAAATATATATGTTTGTAAGTTTCAATATAATAATGATGAAATCAATTTTTACAGATAAGACTCAGTTTATATTTTGCAAAGTATAATCTCTTTTATTCCAATTACTTGTCTTTCAGTTTTTCATACTGTAATGGCTTGCATGTTGCTGTGATGCTGGAAGCTATGCTATTGGTATTTTAAATATGGTGAAAAAGCTCCATATTATTAGCCAAACCAAGGTCAGGGACAGACAGGAACAGACCACCAACTGCTCCTATTCAAGTTCATAATGAAGCAGAAGAAAATTAAAAGAAGTCTACAAGAGCCAAAATATGACCTTAAGCATGTTCCACCTGAATTTAGAGATCATGTGAAGAATGATCTGATGTGTTTGACACTAAGTACCAAAGATGGGAAGAGTTGTGGGATGACATCAAGAATATTAAAAAGATGTTATAAAGAACATTAAAAAGACGGGGGTTGAGGAGGACCAAAATGGATGTCAGTTGTTGTTGTTGTTAAGTGCTGTGAAGTCGGGTCCAACTCATAGCGACCCTGTACAGGGTTTCCGAGGCTGTAAATCTTTACGGGAGCAGAAAGCTTCCTCTTTCTCCCACAGAACAGCTGGTAGTTTCTAACTGCTGACCATGAGATTAGCAGCCCGATTCGTAACCAGTACGCTACCAGAGCTCCTTGAGGATGTCAGTAGGGACTCTGAAATTGGCTCTAGGGAATCGAGAGGTTAAAGAAATGAGAAAAGAGGTGAACCAAAAATTTCAAAGGGCAGCTCAGAAAGACAAAGTCAAATATTATAATGCAATGTGCAGAGATCTGGAGTTAGAAAACCAAATGGAGAGAAAATGTTCAGCATTTAGCAAGCTTTAGAGAGCATACAAAGGCTTCTGACTGGTAAACTATGTATAAAATTGCAAAGAACAACTATTCCAGAACACTTGATTGTGCTCATGAGGAACCTCTACATACACCAGGAGGAAATTGTTAGAACAAGGAGATACTGAACGGTTTAAAATCAGGAAGAGTGTGCACCAGGGTGTATCATACTTATTCAATCTCTGTGTTGAGCAAATCATCCAAGAAGATGAAGTATATGAAGAAGGTCGCATCAGGATTGGAGGAAGACTAATAATCTACGAAACTCAGTTTATACAACCTTGCTTGCTGAAGGCAAAGATGATTTAAAATACTTACTGATGAAAGCCAAGAAAATGAAAATCTTCACAACTGGACCAATAAGTAACATCATGAATAAATGGAGAAAAGACTGAAGTTGTCAAAGATTTAATTTTCCTTGGACCCACAATCAACACTCATGGAAGCAACAATCAAGAAATCAAATGACATACTGCACTGGGGAAATCTGCTGCCAAAAATCTCTTGAAAGTGTTCAAGAGCCAAAATGCCACTTTGAGGACTAAGGTGTGCCTGATCCAAGCCATGGTTTTTTCAATCATCTCCTATGCATGTCAGAGTTGGATAAATGAAGACAGAAGAAGAATGGGTGCTTTTGAATTGTGGTTTGGAGAAAAACAGTGAAAGTACCATGGACTGCCAGAACAACAAACAAATCTGCCTGAGAAGAAGTACAGTCAGTATGCTCCTTAGAAGCCAGGAGGGCCAGACATCGTCTCTCATACTTCAGACATGTTATCAGAAGAGACCAGTGCCTGGAGAAAAACAACATGCTTGGTAAAGAGGAGTGTCAGTGAACACAAGGCACACCCCCAATGAAATGGATTAACACAGTGACATTAGCAATGGGCTCAAATGTAAGATCAATTGTCACAATGGCCCAGGACCGGCCAGTGTTTTGTTCTGTTGTGCATGGTGTCTCGATGAGTCAGAACTGACTTGACGGCACCTAACACCAACAAACTCTCAATAAACATTATTATATTACATGTTCTTTCCTTTTTTATGGAGGTATTTAAAAAACAATATTTAGAATTATGAAATATCTGGCTTTTGAAAGCTGGAAGAAATGCAGCAAAACATTCTTCAGAAACCAGATTGTGGTCTTTATTGAATTAATTTTTTAGTGGATAGCAATCATATGTAGAAATAGTTTATTTTCTGCTTACCTCATCTTCTGATCCAGATTTATTTGATTTATTGCCTTCTTCTTGTCCTTCTATGATTTCAATTTCTTCTTCACTATTTTCTTCCGGTTGATCACCTTTCTCTTCTAGAATATAGATTTTATTAAAAGCAAAAATTCAACAAATTTAGAATTTTGTTGCTAAAATTTAAGTATAATAAAAGAATTTATTTAAATATGAGTATTTAAAAACAATTTCTTCAATTAAAAAATGTTTTAATCACAAACACTGTTACCACATTTTATAATTAAGTAATCCTATGCGAGATAAAGGCTATGACTTAGAATTACTAAATAACTGTATGTCATATGAAAATCAACAAATATATCATTTTTCCTGTTTTGTCTTTGTCATATTTCCTTTGGTTTTTGGTGATCTTTTCCTCTTTAATATGCTATTTTACCCTCAAATATGCTAATTATATTATTAGGAGAGTCCTGATGTGGCACTGTGGGTTAATACACTGGATTACAAAGTCACTCTGAACCACAAGGTCAGCAGTTCAAACTCACCAGCTTCTCCTCAGAAACCCTGAACAGAGTTTCTGTGTCAGAACAGAGTCCTGGTGTGGCACTGTGGGTTAATGTGCTGGACTGCAAAGTCACTCTGAACCACAAGGTCAGCAGTTCAAGCTTACCAGCTTCTCCTCAGAAACCCTGAACAGGGTCGCTACGTGTCAGAACAGAGTTCTGGTGTGGCACTGTGGGTTAACGTGCTGGACTGCAAAGTCACTTTGAACCACAAGGTCAGCAGTTCAAGCTCACCAGCTGCTCCTTGGAAGCCCTATACAGGGTTGCTATGGGTCAGAACCAACTCAACGACACTTAACAACAACAACAAATGTGACGGCACTTAACAACAACGACGAGTATATTATTATTATGGAGTTCTAGTGTGGCACTGTGGGCTAATGCACTGGACTGCAAGGTTGGTTTGAACTGCAAGGTCAGGGGTTCAAGTTTACCAGCCCCTCCTCAGAAACCCTGTACAGGGTCACTATGGGTCGGAACCAACTCGATGTCACTTAGCAACAACAACGAAGTATACTCTTATATTTTTTCCAATTACTGATCTTTCTTTGGGTTCTATTTAGCCAAATATGCAACTCTGTCACTATCATTACCAAAGCTATCAAGTGTGCCCAATGAGGCAGGATGGCTACTTTGTCTCTCATACTTTGAATATGTTACCAGGAGGGACCAGTTCCAGGAGAAGGACATCGTGCTTGGTAAAGTGGAAGGTCAATGAAACAGGAAGATTACAATGAGATGGCCTGACACAGTGGCAGCAGCAGTGAGCTCAAGAGTTAACAATGGTGGGGATGGTGCAGGACTGGGCAGCGCTTCATTCTGTTGTGCATAGGGTCACTATGAGTCCGAGCTGACTCAATGACACCTAACAACCACAACAAAGGAGCAATGTGGCACTGCAGTGATAAGCACTGGACTGCTAATTAAAAGGTCGGTGGTTCAAACTCACCAGCTGTTCCTCAGAAACCCTATACAGCATCACTATGAGTCAGAACTGACTCGACAGCATTAAACAACAGGAGCAATATACCACCACTGGTCTCTCAGTTTGTATAGGTGATGGCTTGTGTGTTGCTGTGATGCTTAAAGACATGCCATTGTTATTGTAAATACCAGCGTGATCACCTATAGTGGATAGGTTTCTGCAAAGATTTCAGACTAAGACATTGGTGGTGTTGTTCAGTGCTTTCAAGCTGGTTCAAACTCATAGTGACCCTGCACAGGGTTTCTGAGGACCAGTTGGTAGATTATGAAAAAAACCTGGTGACCTACTTCCAAAAAGCCAATAAAAATCCTCTGGACCATAATGGTCTAATTCCATGTGCATGGGGTCACCTAAAGTCTTGTGCTCATTCAAGAGCAGCTAAAAACAGTAACAACAGAAGCTAAGTAAGCCATCAGTAATTTAGTGGCAGAATTCTTGCCTTTCATGAGGGAGACCCAGGCTCAATTTCCAGCTATCAGCCTTATGTCAGTGAAGGCTTATGTGTTGTTTTGATGTGAAGCAATTTTCAGCAGAAGTTCCAGACAAAGACATACCAGAAAGAAAGGCTTGGTGATCTACTTTCAAAAATCAGCCAATGAAAAAACTCTAACAATTGTAACAATTCAATGTGCAACTGATATGGTACAGGGTGAATTAGAATCTACATCTGCTCATTGTGAAGGGTGGTGCCATGAATTGGGGCCCGGCTCCATAGCAGCTAACAAGAAGAGTCTATGTAAAGTTAACAAGCATACCTTGCAACAATGGTGGGGTTGGGGAAGAGGAAGTTGACAAACCATCAGCTATTTAAATTTTCCAATGGAAGGTATCTATACATGCCTTCTAAATAGTGTTATTACTATATCAGTATACTAGGTATTAAGATATGACAAAAATAAGGCTTCTCGTGTTTTAGAGATTCTGATATATAAACGTGTGTATATGTATTTGTATATACAAGACACTTTTTTTTATTTAAAAAATAACAAAAAGAGAACTGGTTTTCCAATCAATTTCTTTACCATCTACTAACAAAATTAATACTTCAAGTAGAATTTAAATTGTGAAGAGCTCAGTCTGGAGCCTGGCTTGGAACTAGGCTATCACCAAATATCACTAGTTTTCTTTCTTTCTCTAATGTGCATAACGAAGTTCCATTGGAAAGCTACTAAAAAGTCTCAGTTCTTCAGTTCAAGTTTAGTATAGGATGGAAGGGGACATATGATTCAGCACTCTTTTCAGGACATGAATTATTTATTCTATGATAAACTACCTTATAAAATCAGCCATTGGAAGACGTGCTAACTTGCTTGCTGCAATCAAGCACCTCTTATCTAATAATGTTCTACAAAGGCCATGGTCGATACCTTATGTTTCATCTTCAACATTCTCAGAAGCAAGAAATGTCTTTGCAAAAAGTTATGGCATACATGGAATTCATAATTTCTAGGCTCTGAGGTCACTGAACAATATAAATATAGGTAATCCCCAAGTTATGAACATCTGACTTGCTGACAATTTCTTCTTTCATATTATGTAAATCCCACCCACCCCCCTCCGGTTTTGAATGAACCAACCCAATTCACATTAGTAGAGTCCATTCCAGATCATAACAACCCTGTAGGCTAGAGTAGAACTGCTCTGTCTGAAACCAATTCTTGAGCACACTCACCTTCACTTGTTGTATGTACAGATTTTAAATTTTTAAAAAGGCTTCTGGTTTTCTCTTGCACTAACCTGAAAAACCCCAACCCAATCCCACTGCCATCAGTCCATTCTGACTCCTCTTAGGGTTTCCAAGGCTGCGTATTATTATAGGAGCAAACTACCACATCGTTCTCCTGTGGAGGCACTGGTTTGTTCAAACCACCAACCTTTGATGTGCAATTAACTCTTTAATCACTTACCACTAGAGCTCTTCCTGAACTAAGTTAAGGCTAAATAAGAACCACATTTAGCTACAAATGCCACTTAAAAGCATAAAGACACAGGAATGACTCCCATTCATAATTTGAAGTCCGCCTACATTTAAGTCTGTTTTTTTTAGGAGACAGAAAACACCGTAAAGTGAGGGTGCCTGGCTTAGGGCATAATACCCGGTTGGTCAGGAATTGTTACTCATTGTTCCCACAGTCCTGCATTCTTGGGGTTTCAGATGGTACGAGTCTGGCAAACACAAAACAGTTGGTGTTCTTAGAGAAGCCATGCTTAGGGCCCTCGTAACTTGCCATCAACATCTTACCTTTTTCAAGAATTTCACCATCACTTTGCTTTTTTTCTTCCTCCGTATCTACTGGTTTCTCCAGGGCTGCTTTCTCTTCCTTCACTTCTTGCTCTAGGGCGCCTTTTGTTTGTGGTTTACATATGTCAGTTTTTTTATACCCTGCATTTGCAATTTTTTTCTGTGGTGGTTTAACATAAGAAATTTTTACTAAAAACAAAGCACTATTTTAAAAGTAGGTTTTTTTTCAATAACTAACAAATACATAGTGAACTATCGGTAAAAACTTAGCTCATTACTATTTTGTAATATTTTATTATATTATGAGTGAAAGGTTAGATGTCAAATTAGTTTCCTATTCAACAGTTAATGCACAAATTGTTCCATGATGCTGGTTGCTATTCCAGCAAAGTTTCGGCACTCTCCCCGTTTCCAGCCTTTTTCCCGCTTCCACACTTGCAGTTTCCCTGCCCCTCCTGGACTTCTCATGTCTGCTTTTAGGCAAATGTTGCCCATTTTGTCTCAATAAGATGATGATTCTAAGAAGCACATTTCTCATGGGTGTCATTTTATAAGCCAATTTATTATATGCAGGAGGGGCTTCATCTCCAGTTTAAAATGGCACCTTAGGGGGAGAGTCTATGGGGTTTCTTTCTCCAGTCTCTAGTAGTCAAGTAACTTTGGTTTTTCTTCTATGAATCTGCATTTTATTCAACATTTTCCTTCCATTCTATGTGGACTTTCTATTGTGTCCCTGATCAGAGAAGTGGTAATGGTGGCCAAGTAGTTCTTCTGGTCTCAGGCTAGAAGAGGCTGTGATTGGTGGGGTCACCATTAGCAAATGTGCTGGACTGCAAAGTCGGTTTGAAGCTCAATGTTGGTGGTTCAAGCTCACCAGCCGATTCTCCGGTAGCTATGGCTCAGAACCAACTCGACGGAACTTAACCACAACATATATGTATATATAAAACATAAAACTTAACCACAACATATATATATATATATATATGAAATAAAACTTAACCACAACATATATATATATGAAGTAAAACTTAACCACAACATATATATGTGTGTGTGTGTGTGTGTGTGTGTGTGTATATATATATATAATAACAACAGTGATGTAAATGGACATATGTGTGTGTGTGTGTGTGTATATATATATATCCCTACTCATCTGTCAGTTTGCCGTACTGTGGTGGCTTGTGAGTTGCTGTGATTCTGGAAGCTATGCCACCAGTATTTTAAATACCAGCAGGGTCACCCATGGTGGACAGATTTCAGATGAGCTTCCAGACGAAGAAAGACTAGGAAGAAGGAGTGACGAACTACTTCCAAATATTTAGTCACTGAAAACCTTATCAATAGCAGAGAAACGCTGTCAGATATCGTGCCAGAACATGAGCCCTTCAGGTTGGAAGACACTCAAATTGTGACTGGGGAAGAGCTGCCTCCTCAAAGTAGAGTTGACCGTGATAACACGAATGGAGTAAAGCCTGTGGGAGAAAAGCCCACGGGACCTTCATTTGCTGATGGGGCACAACTCAAAATGAAGAGAAACAGCTGTAAACATCCACTGAAAAATCGGAACATGGAATGTATGAAGTATGAATCAAGAAAAATGGAAAACTGTAAAAAATGAAATGTAACGCATAAACCTCGATATCGTAGGCATTAGTGAGCTGAAATGGACAGGTGTTGGCCATTTTGAATCTGAAAACTACATGGTTTACTATGTTGAGAATGACAGATTTAAAAGGAATGGTGTTGCATTCATCATCAAAAAGAACATATCCAGATCAGTCATGAGGTACAACACTGTCTGTGATAGGATAATATCCTTGCGCCTACAGGAAAGACCAGTGAATACCACTATTATTCAAATTTACGCACCAACCACTAAAGCCAATGAGGATGAAATAGGATAATTCTATCAACTTCTTCAATCTGAAATGGATCTAACAATCAAACAAGATGTATTGATCATTACTGGTGATTAGAATGCAAAGGTTTGAACAAAGAGGAAGGATGAGTAATTGGAAAATATGGCCTTGGGGATAGAAATGATACTGTAGGTCATGATAGAATTCTGAAAAATCAGTGATTTTTTTCATTTCAAATGCTTTCTTTAGACAGCATAAGAGATGACTGTACACCTGGACCTCCCCAGATGGAATACACAGAAATCAAATTGACTACATCTGTGGAAAGAGATGATGGAAAAGCTCTATATCATCAGTCAAAACAAGGCCAGGGGCAGATTGTGGAACAGACTATCAATTACTCATATGCAAATTCAAACTGAAGCTGAAGAAAATTGAAAACAAGTCCACAAGAGCCAAAATATGACCTTGAATGTATCCCACCTGAATTTAGAGATCATCTGAAAAACAGATTTGATACATTAGACACTAAAGACCGAAGACCAGAAGAGTTGTGGGATGACAGCAAGAAAACATCATAGAGGAAGAAAGCAAAAAGTCATTAAAAAGACAAGAAAGAATGAAAAGATCAAAATGTATGTCAGAAGAGACACTGAAACTTGCTCTCCAGTGTAGAGATGCTAAAGCAAATCGAAGATGAGGAGGTCCAAGAGCTGAACAGAAAATTTCAAAGGTCAGCTAAAGAAGACAAAGTCAAATATTACAACAAAATGTGCAAAAATCTTGAGTCAGAAAACCAAAAGTGAAGAACAGGTTCAGCATTTCTCAAGTTGGGGGAACTGAAGAAAAAATTCAAGCTTCAACTTTCATTATTGAAGGATTCTCTGGGCTAATTACTGAATGATGCAGAAAGCATCAAAAGAAGATGGAAGGAATACACAGAGTCACTGTACCAAAAGGAAATGGTTGCTGTTCAACCGTTTCAAGAGGTAGGATATGAACAAGAACCAATGATGCTGAAGGAAGAAATCCAAGGCACATTGAAGGAACTGGCAAAGAACAAGGCACCAGGAATTGATGGAATAAAAAATGGAAATCTTTCAAGAAAGTTAGGCAGCACTGGCGGCACTCATTCATCACTGCCAAGAAATTTGGAAGACAACTATCTGGCCGACTGATTGGAAGAAACCCATATTTGTGCCCATTCTAAAGAGAGGTGACCCAGTGGAATGCGGACACCATTGGATATCCCATGCGAGTAAAGTTATACTAAAAGGTAATTCAGAAACGGCCGTAAGCATACATTGACAGAGAACTTCCAGAGGTTCAAGCTGGATTCAGAAGAGGACATGGAATGAGAAATATCATTGCTGATGTCTGATGGATCTTGGCTGAAAGCAGAGAATAACAGAAAGATATTTACCTGTGCTTTACTGACTACACAAAGGCTTTTGATTGTGTGGTCATGACAAGCTATGGACAACATTATGAAATATGAGTATTCCTGAACACTTAATTGTGCTCATGAAGAATCTGTACATGGACCAAGAGGCAGTTGTTTGAACAGAACATGGGAACACTGAATGGTTTAAAATTCAGAAACGTGTGTGACAGGGTTGTATTCTTTCACCGTACTTATTCAAGCTGTATGCTGAATAAATAATCTGAGACACTGGGTTATATGAAGAAAAATGTGGCATCAGGATTGGAGGAAGACTCATTAACAGCCTGTGATATGCATATGAAACCACCTCCCTTGCTGAAAGTGAAGAGGAATTAAAATACTTACTGATGAATATCAAAGAGCACAGCCTTTGGTATGGATTGCATCTCAATGTAAAAAAAAACAAAAATCCTCACCGATGGACCAATAAACAACATTCTTATCAATGGAGAAAAGATTGAAGTTGTCAAAGATTTCATTCTTCTTGGATCAACGATCAACATTCACGGAAGCAGCAGTCAAGAAATCAAATGACATATTGCATTAGGCAAATCTGCTGCACAAGACATTTTTAAAGTGTTGAAGAGCAAAGATGTCAGCTTGAGGACAAAGGTGTGCCTGACCCAAGCCATGGTATTTTCAAAAACCTTATATGCACGTGAAAACTGGACAGTGAATACGGAAGACCATAGAAGAATTGATGCATTTGAGTTATGGTGTTGGAGGAGAATAATGAAAGTGCCATGGGCTGCCAAAAGAACCAATAGATCTGTGTTGGAGGAAGTACAGCCAGAGTGCTCCTTGGAGGCCAGGATAGCCAAACTTTGTCTCTCATGCTTTGGAAATGTTGTCAGGAAGGACCAGGAGGGTCACTGGAGAAGGATATCATGTTTGGTAAGGTGGAAGGTCAGAGGAAAAGAGGAAGAACCCCAACGAGATAGATAGAGCCCATCAATGGGCTCAAGCGAGGCAACAGTTGTGAAGTTGGCCCAGAACGGGGCAGTATTTTGTTCTGTTGTGCAAAGGTCGCTATGAGTCAGTACCGACTCAATGGCACCTAACAACAACAACATACATATATGGAGTCCTGGTGTAGCATTGTTTGATAAGCACTAGACTGCTGACTGCAAGGTTAGCAGTTCAAACCCATTAGCTGCTCCCAGGAAAAATTCATAGGGTCGCTATGAATTGGAAAGTACTCGATGGCACCTAATAACAACAACACATATATATACAGACAGAATGCTAGATCTTTGGGTATTTTCACCCAAAGATCTAGCAATCTGTATATATATTTCAGGAAATGCCGTATTTCCACAGTGGTTGTACCATTTTACAATCCAGTGTATAAGAGTTCCAATATCCCCAAAGCCTCTCCAGCATTTGTATTGTTTTGGTTTCTGGTCAGTATCAGTTTTGCAGGGGTAAGATGCTATCTCACTGTAGCTTTGATTTGCATTGTGAACAACTCTTCGTGTGTTCGTTACCTGCCTGAATGTTTTCTTTGGTGAAGCGTCTTTTGGCCATTTTTTTACTGAATTGTTTGTCTTTTTGTTGTTGAGCAGTTTATTACTTTTAGAAATCACTTAAACAATTCAAAGAACCCATGAACAGTAAGAAAATTTATTTAAAAGTTGATGGAAATTTATTTTCCTTACCTTTGCTTTTCTTGGCCAACAAAATGAAGTAATTAATACCACTGGCAGCACTGCTATCACCAGGTAAATGATCCAAAGCCAAGGGCGCTCTTCAGCAGCTGCCATGAACTGTTTAAGTACACCAGGCTGTAGAAGAAGTAGGAAACCAGAATTCAGATTTCACAACCCCACCTGGGAAATACAGCCTACAAAAACATTTGTTTTACGTAGGCATTTCACATTAATGAATGATGAACTTGTAAAAGCAAAAATATGCCTTCCCCTCACCCCCCGCCAACCTTATACTTAAGGAGCCCTGGTCAAAAAAGTATGGGACTGTTAACCACAACATTGACAGTTCAAACCCACCAGCTGATCCACCTACACAGGGTCTCCATGAGTTTAAATCAATTCAGTGGCAATGAATTTACATTGTCCTTTATAAAGTCCATGTCTTTTAATTATTACCATGCATTACTGAGGACAACTTTGCAGTAGAAGATATGTCATTATGTGAATGAAATTATTATCAGCAAGAATAATGATGATTTATCAGAATAGAATGATTCTTTATGAGTGTTTTAACTGGCTCATTTAAAAGTGTACAACTGATTTTGTAGTTTTAAAGGAGTTAATCGTGAAATTATGTCAGTATTATTGTGCTTTATCTTTTATATGTCAAACAAATTTCACACCTCACCCTCAGTAAAGAAACCGTTTCTAACTGAAATAAAATCACAAACCCTCAAACATATTAGAAGAGTTCCAAAATATGAAACCCTCTATCCTTACCTGTCCTTTTGATGGTTTCTGCTACTGTTCAAAGAAAGCAAATGTAAGGTATAATTTTTTCTTTATATTAATTCATCTTAAAGATATATTCTCTAAGATGCATTGTGTCACAGTATTTTAGCTTTATTTTTTTCTATGTAAGACTTGAGACACAATTTTATAATGCTAAATTTAATTTTTTTTCTGTACTCGTCTAAGTAAAAACTATTTAAAATGAATGAGGTATAATATTTATATTATTTTTACCACTAAGGTATGCATTTGCAAGGTGACAAAGATACTAAGCAGTGTCACTAGCAAAGAGACTGCTGAGGTAAGATATGAGATTGAATTAAATTTATTATAATTTAATGAATAAAATGAAAAGTTAGATATCCATAAACAGTCCTTTATATAGTTTATACTGAAGCTGTATCATAATGTAGCCAAGAAAGCTAAATAATCAGTCTACATAAATATATTCAGACATTTCCTTGGCATTCAGCAATTGCTGCACAAATATTTACCTTTAAAAGGATCAAGTCCTATTACAACTACACAGAGTTACATTACTACCACTAGAGCTGATACCGTACCTCGTTAGCAGTTGCTACCATTGTTTTCATGCCCCAACCATCTGCAGCCCAGTGATCAGCTACTTCCTTTTCTGAACATATAATGAAATTATCAAAGTAGATATCAGAGGTCATAGACCAAAGCTCTAAACCAAGAGCACGGAAAGATGTCAAAAGAAATGGATGATCATCTTCAAAATAATCTGGATTAGGAATTTTTCGAGGACTCCAGATTCCCTGGGAGAAAAAAACAATTGAAGACATTTTCAAATGAAATTGTTTCATTATCAATGCTACCCAAGTAACAGTAACTGTTGGGTAAATTTAGCAACACTAATTGGGGGTTGGGGGGGGGGGACTCTTACTGATACTAATTCTCATAATTATTCTTTAGAAATAAAATCTTATTTCTTCTTATTCTGTACACAATGTTCTTTGTGAAAAGTACTGCCTTGAAACTCTTCAGAAAAGTCAAAGACACACTGACAACCAAGTAACTGAACTTCACAAGCTTACTACTGTACACAGACCTTTCATGTTTTAGTACAGCTTACTCAAGGCAAGATGCATTAAAATTGCCTGAGTCAGAGACAAATGTATGACAAAAATGGAGCCATTCCTTTTAACATATACTCATGGCAGGTATCTCAAACTGACTATGGCCCCTCCTCAGAAAAACTATTCACACGAAAAGTTCCATTATATTTAAAATTATTAAACTGTCAAGCAAATCAGATAGATTCAACTATTTGTTTCTCACTGACTCACCTCACCCTCAAATGTATCTACTCTGTGCCCGGTACACTATGCCAGATGCTAGGGATGTGGTGATCAATACAGATACTGTTCTTGGGTTACAGACCCTAAGGTCTAACAAGGGAGATAACCAGGAAATTTAAAAAGCAACCAAAAAAAGCATATAATAATATTTTCTGATAAACACTATAAAGAAAAACTCTAGTGAGCAATTAGGATATATAACTGTATATGTAGAATATAAAGCTGGAAAATGTCAGTGAGTAATTCAAAAGATAAAATTAGTAAATAACACAGGAATTTCTAATTTAAAAAACAAAGCACTCACAATGCTATTTGTTTAAAAAAAAAGTCCATATTTTAATAATGCCAGAAAATGAGCATATTAAGTACAGGTATTTTACTTTACTAAAATATACAACGTAGGTCATCTTGATCAGAATTCATTTCTTGTATTTTGCTTCTAAACTATAACTTTCTTCCACAGTAAGTATTAACTGGTTACTAGGGAAGAAGATATTGTGAAGTGATTTAGCTTGAAGTTTTTATGTTTATTCCCCCAGAAAATTAAAGAATGCTTTACTTTTCAAATATAAATTAGTTGGGGTATAGAATCTTTGGCTTGTCAAAATAATAGCTCATGTATACTACTGAAAATCTAAAACTTCTAAATGTTAACATAACTTTATTAGTAACCAGATGTATATTTTAAAAATTACAAGATTTTAAATTTTTATATGGGATTCGATCAAGTGATTATTACCTGGTAATTAGGATTATCAATCATTGGAGGTCTCCATATTCCTTTGAACTTGGGGTTGTCAATCATGGGAGGTTTCCATTCACCACATCCAATCCGACATGCTGGATTAGGAATATGAGGTGCTTCCCATTCTCCATCCATATCTTCATTCCTTAGGAGATGGAACAAAGCAAAAATTGTGACTTTGAATCTCTCCTGTCAGTCATGTACTAGTAACTAAAAAGTAAGAGAGAAATGCTCGAAACTAGCATTGAAAGATGAAGAATGTTTACCAGTCTACAGGTTTTTCAGCATTAGGATCTGGGATAAATTTTGGCTCCTTATCAAGCCAGCCATTAGGTTTAACAACACTTGAATCTTCTATTTGGGCAGGTTCACTTTCATCCCTGTTAAGAAAGTATTTTATGTTGATTATTAATTATTTGAAAAACATGTTGTAAACTACAGAATTTGATAAAACAAGGTATTTCTTGCCCTTTTGCGTCTCTGCTTCCTACCTTCCCCATCTCTCATCCACTTACTCTTCTACCTACATGAGTCAATTTTGTATGTAAAGTACTTGTCGCTGCACTCTCTGAATACATGCACATAGGTGTACGTTCTTGCTTTTTTTAAGACAGATGTTGCTGTTAAAAGCCGCCGAGTCGGTTCCGATTGTTAGTAGCCCTGGATAGGGTTTCCGATACTGTAAATCTTTGTGGAAGCAGAAAGCCTCATCTTTCTCCCACAGAGCGGCTGATGGGCTTGAACCACTGACATTGTGGTTTGAAGTCCAGTGCTTATTCTACAAAGTCATGCATCCCCAATACAGATGATTGTTGTTGCTAAGTGCCATTGAGTCGGTTCGACTCATAGCGACCCTGTATAGGGTTTCCGAGGAGCAGCCGGTGAGCTTGAACCACCGACTTTACGGTCCAAATGAACCTTTTGGTTCAGTGCTTTGTCTTATAGCATCACATCAGTACTATCCTAGCACATGGGACAGTAAAACACTGACTAACTAGGAAAGAAAGTATATAATTTCAAGAAATTGGCATAAGATAGGCTAATTTCTCTGACCACAAAGAAACTAGGTTATTAGACAACAATGAAAAGACATAAAAGCACTCCATTTTGAAAATAAAAATATTATAGCATTTATAAATCAAATACAAAGAAATTAAAATGAAAATGTAACATTTAGAAATAAATAATATTTAAAATTATACACATATATAGATACAGTGACACTATACCACAAGCACTGGACTGTAAACCACAAAGTTGGCAGTTAGAGCCCACCAGAACAATAAACACATTTTTGCCACTGAGTCAATTCTGAGTCACGGGGAGCCACGTGTTACAGAGTGCAAGTGTTATATAAGGTTTGCTCAGCTGTGATCTTTATGTAAACTGATCACCAGGGCTTTCGTTGTGGCACAGCTGGTTGAATGTGAACCACCCCCCTTTAGGTTAATGTTGTTGTTGTTGTTACATGGTGTCAAGTCGACATAGTGACCCTGTGTAGGGATTCCAAGGAACGTCTGGTGAGCTTGAACCGCTGACCCTGTGGTTCAAATAGACTTCATAGTCCAGTGCATTATCTGTAATGCTACATCAGGCTCCATTTAGGTTACTAGTCAAGTGCAAACCATTTGACCACCCAAGAACTTTTATACAGTCACCAGGACTTGTGAAATGCAGCAGACAAAACAACATATAAGATTCTTAAAAGGAAATGTATGGTGCTCACTGCCTATATTAGAAAAGGTAAGGGTCAAAATCAAGGTGATAAGACTCTAATGTAAGAAGTTAGAAAAAGAGCAGAATATGCTCATAGAAACTACATCTACATGTACAGCAATAATTAAGAGGATTTATTCAATAGAGAGAAAGAATGAAAGTCAAAGTCATAAGCTGGTTCTTTCAAACAAACAATATTACAAACAAAAGATATTTGTGATTTTGGATAAAGCACAGATTAAAAATACAAAATAAAATAAACTATTTTTGTCAATATATGTTAAAACATAGACAAATGGAAATTTCTTGGGGGGTGGGAGAAATTAACCAACTTAAACTGACTAAAGAAATAATATGAAAAACCATGAAGAATTTACCACCATCCTAAATAATTGAATCAATAGGTTTCCTATGTAGAATAGTCAAGGCCCAGCTGGATTTTAGTTTAGATCAACTGCCAGATAAGAGCAGAAAACAGAACACTTCGTAGCTCATCCTAAGAGGCACTATAACCTGGATATAAAACTGCTTGACAGCCTCACTCAAAAATTATCAAATAAATATGATCAAATCAAACTGCCAGAAACAATAAAAATGGTTCATGACTAAGTTAGATGTATCACAGGAATGCAAGCATAGTTAAAGCATCATAGACATACATATTAAAGAGAAAAAAAATTGAGATTGTTATTATGCTGTTGTGAAATGCCATCGAGTCAGTTCCAACTCATAGTGGCCCTGTATAGGGTTTCCAAGGAGCAGCTGGTGGATTTGAACTGACAACCTTGTGGTTTTGCAGTTCAGTGCTGATTCTACAGCACTATACCAGGGGCCTGGGTACTAAAAAACTGTTTGATAAAATTCAAAATCTATTTGTGATAAAAAAAAAAACAAACCTCTCAGCCTACAATGATGGTAAAGCATGTGCTTTCCTAATAAAAATGCAGACACAATCATTCTAATGGTGAGAAATCAGAGGTATTTTCTTTAAAATCATAAGCATTCCAACAAGTCTATCATTACAACTTTTGATGAACACTTTTCTGCAAGTCTTATCCAGCACTATAAGAACAGCTAATCTACCTTTTAAGGGCTGGAAAGGAAAAAAAAACAGAAGTATCAGTAACAAGTGATGTGACTCACTATATACAAAACATGAAAGAATTTACAGACATAAGACATGACAGGAGAATTTAGCAAGCTGGATGAATATTTATGAAACCCATATATACAGAACAACTTTTTGAACCAGAACAAAATAATTTTCTGAAAGACAGCACTTAACAAAAGCAACCAGAAGTAAGGTACCGAGTATGAATCTAAAATGTTTCAGCTATCTATCTATGGGGAAAAACTGTAACACCTTTTTTATTTGAACACATTCAAGAAGACCTAAATAACTGAAGCTCCATGCTTATAGTCGGGCTGATTCATTATCTCTGACAGTGTCACATTTCCTCAAAGTGATTTATAGATGAAATTTCTACTAACATTCTAAAAAGGCTTATAAGACACATTGCAAGATTTTAAGGTTTACATATGGATGAACAACCACTTAAAAGCACCCAGAAAATTTCTAAAGTATCATGTACAAATAAGTAATTTTTAAAAACTAGTTATTAAGACATGGACCCAGGAATATCAAACTGACCAATGATGCAGAACAGGAAGCCCAGATAGATAAGACACATTGTTGTTGTTGTTGTTAAGTGCCGTTGAGTCGGTTCCGACCCATAGCGACCCTGTACAGGGTTTCCGAGGGTGTAAATCCTTACGGGAGTAGAAAGCCTCATCTTTCTCCCGCGGAGCGGCTGGTAGTTTCGAACCGCTGACCTTAAGGTTCGCAGCCCGATTCGTAACCACTACGCTACCAGAGCTCCTCTGACCCCCAGAAATGCAGGTCACTGAGAAAGAAACTGACTATTCAGCAAATAGCACTGGAACCAAAAAATGTCTGAATGAAAAAAAATCCCTTCCTCAAAGTACATGCAACAATAGCTTCTAAATAAGTTAAAACTTAAAAGAACATATAAGCACACACTTATGAGCTCAGCTCAGGAAAGAGTTTATTAAACAAAGCAAAGTATGTTCATCATAAAAGGTAATGGTTCCATTTTACTATATCAAAATTGGAGTCCTGTAGGATAAACAACGGACTGCTAAACACAAGGTTGGTGGTCCACTAACTGCTCTTTAGAAACCCTTTAAAGTGTTGTTATGACTTGGAATCAATTCAATGGCACTTAACAACAACAACAAAATAACAAAATTAAGAATATTTGTTCATTACAGATGCCACATACAAAGAAAATAAATTTTAAAAAAGAGAAGGCACAAACTGGAGAAAGTTATTTGCAACAATAAATCCAGTGCTTACTCAGCAGCACCATACCAGGACTTCAAAAATGAAATGGAACACATAAAGAGCCACATCTCAGACATTAGTTAGCTGATATGGAGAGATATTCATTATTTCCAACTGAAAAGCATACAGTTTACTGAGAATGACAAATTGATGAGGAATGTCATTGCATTCATTGTCAAAACGAGCATTTCAAGATCTAGCAAGAAATACAATCAGTTTGTGATAGGATAATAACCATACACCTACAAGAAGACCAGTCAATGCAACTATTATTCAAATTTATGTACCAATGACTAAAGCCAAAGATGATGAAACTGATGAATTCTACCAAGTTCTTCAGTCTGAATTTGATCAAACATACAATCAAAACACATTGATAATTGCTGATGATTGGACTGCAAAAGTTGGAAACAAAGCAGAAGGATCATTAGTTGGAAAAGATGGCCTTGGTGATAGAAATGATAATGGAGATCACATGACAGAATTTTGCAAGACCAATGACTTCTTCATCGCAATTACCTTTTTCACCAACATACACAGGTACTATACATATGGACCTCACCAGATGGACACACAGGAATCAAACTGACTACATCTGCGGGAAGAGATGATGGCACAACTCCACTTGCTGAAAACCAGGAGAACCAGAAATACTGACAAAGATCAAAGAACACAGCAAACAGTATGGATTGCATTTCAATGTAAAGAAATCTGAAATACAACTGGACCAATAAATAACATCATGATAAATAGAGAGAAGATTACAGTTGCAAAGATTTCATTTTACTTGGATCCACAGACAATACTCATGGAAGCAGGAGCCAAGAAATCAAACAACGTATTGCATTAGGCAAATCTGCAAAAGACCTCTTTAAAGTGTTGAAGAGCAAAGATGTCAGTTTGAGAATAAAGGTACTACTGACCCAAGTAATGGAATTTTCAGTCACCTCATATGCATGTGAAAGTTGAACAGTGAATAAGGAATACCGTGAAAGAAATGATGCACTTGAATTATGATGTGGGTGATGAATACTGAAAGCACCGTGGACCGTCAGAAGAACAAACACTTCTATCTTGGAAGTACAGTCAGAATGTTCCTTAGAAGCCAGGATGGCAAGACTTCATCTCTTGTACTTTGGACATATTATCGAAAGAGAACAGTCCTTGAAGAAGGACATCATGCTTGGAAAAATAGCAAAAATATGTCTGATAAAGGCAAATGCTGAAGAGGATGTAAATCAGTGGTGACTCAATGCTACTGGGAAAAGTAACACATTTATGCAAACAGTTTGGAAAACA